GGAGCCGTAGATAATTTGGCCGGCGACACGTCTCGGATGCTCTACGTGCCCTGTGTGAAACTGCAGATCTGCAAAGCTTGCGTAAGTTACACAGACCCTCATTTTTATGTTACAGATATTTTTGATAATTCAGAACTTAAGGAATATTATAGAAAAATTCTGAAAAATTTTAAAATGTATCCAGAAATTCTGAAAAATTATACAAAACACTAAGAAAAATTTTCACCAGAGAACTCTATTGAGATAGGTCCAAGATTTAAAGAACACTCCGCTCTAATTCCTTGTTCTACGAAAAGGCTACAGCAAACTGATTTTTACTAGACGCAGGACGAGGAGGGGCTGTTACCCTGCCTCGCCAATTACGCCCTGGAGGCTGGCAAGGTGTGCGACGCGTTGGAGACCAGAGACGAGCAGCCGCGGATGACGGCGGTGCACGAGGGCGAGAGGCAGTCGTGCGCAAACACCGCGTTGCTGCTGTCGCAGTTACATCCTCCCGGAGCGGCGACCACGCAGTGTCGCGCGCGGAACGCCCGCGACTCGTGTTTGCGGCGGTATCACGCACGATACGAGCACCGATACTTCCGCACGTCGCCGGCGTACGAGGGCACCGGGCATCGCTCCCACCATGAAGGCGCCCTCGACGCGTTGCAGCAAACCATGTACGAACGATAAGGATCACGCGAGCGAGAGGAAGCCACCCCGGTTCGGCCGCGCGATACGGTGGACCGCCAGTTATCCGGATTAACCGGGTATCGCCTGAGTACCGAGTCCCTCTGACGATCCGATTGAACAGAGATTTTTAATTTATATCGAAACTCTGTTGTTGTTGTTGCTTACATTTGTTATTTTGTTCAATCATTTTTGGCCTACGTTTCTTTTTTACTTAGGAGCTTTGTCCGGATAATCTGCGGTTTACTATTATTAACCTTGCCCTTTGAGGACCGGAACTTTCTGATTAAATAACTTATGGAAGATTTTGTTTTCTGAGTGTTTTTGGAGTCACTAAATTCGATTCTGGCCTCAGAATTCTAAAATTTAAATTCCAAAAAATTGTCCGATTATCGTAAAATTCAGTTTTAGAAGAATTTCATAATCAAAATTTGAAAGTCAGTTTAGAAATCAGCTGTATTGTTTGTGTAGCACTGATGAGCTTGAAATAAAGCAAAATTGGAAACTTGATGTTATACTTCGCACTTAAAAACTCCCTAAGAGTTTTATGACGGTCAAATTATTTTTTTTAATTCCGCTATATTAAATCCACCATTTGGAATTTTTTATTTTTGACCTCAGATTCGAATAAAACATTAAATTATTTCATAGCTTCATAAGTTAAGCTTCATAAAATCGAGAGCAAGCAGTTTATAAAATAAAAAGAGTTGACTTGAAATGGAGTCGCCGGTCCACAAAGGGTTAAAGAATCTTCCGTCGTAATGAAGCATGAATCAAGACTAATTCTCACAAAGTATCATACAATCTATACAGCACAGATTTCCAAGATAGGAATGTACAGAATCGTAAAATTAATTGATATCCAAAAAGAATGTGACACCGGATGTCCTACAACTGGTCGAATAGCCGGTACAATACAATTTCCAAAAATTCTAAAAAGAAAGGAAAGCAAGGGAAAAATGATTAAACTTCTTGAACAGTTCATTTTTCTCCTTTTTCTTTTTACGTTGGGAAGATAAAGAAAATTATTATTGCTAATTTTCTCTTGTTTTCCTCTTTCTTTAGAATTTGTACCAGATATCCGGAAAAATATCCGGTTATCTGGCCGAATAATTACGGATATCCGATGTCACATTCTCTTTGGATGCCCCATATCTGCTTTCCGGTAATTTTACAGTACATTCCTTGTTTTAATCATGAAGATGCTGTACGTATGGTACCAGTTGAGGATTAAGCGATGCACGAAGAGTCATTCTCGAATCGAATTAAAATGGACCAGAATGATCGAGAGAGGGATATTAATTTTTTCAGAATGCTGGAAAAAAATAGTACGCAGAAAAAACAATAATTATGCAAATGTACTCAGAGAAAGACATAGTGATAGCAACTATAAAGATGACAGATATAAGTTTTATGTGTAAAATTAATGTACACATTGATAATTAAACTATTTTATAATTATTGCAACTATTAATAGTTTATTTAATTATGTACATCAGTATATTCAACTATATACACTGATTCTACTTATTTAACTTATTTGGGCAATTGTCACCTTTACAGTTGCCATTATGCTTTTTTTCTAAGTGTGGAGTTTCCGTTTCTTTTCGATTCGAGATCTCAAAAATACGATGGTACTCGATATGTGAAACAGCATTTTTTTGCATATGATGCGTATAAATTTCTCGTCGGATCGAGATTTCAAAATCCTGAATTAAAAAATTATAAAAAATTATAAGAAAAAGAAGATAATGTCTAATTATAGCGAAATGATGCGTTTTATTTGTTAAAAAAAACAAGCTTATGAAGGATTAAAAGGAGAGAATAGATATGTCTATAAAAAAAAAATTAAGGGAATAAGATGTTTTATCTATTTGCGAGGTGTGCTATCCCAAGCAGAACAATAAGTCATCATGACATCAAAATGATGTCAAAATAACTTCAAAACGATCATTGAAAAAAGTCCTTTTTCAATCATTTACGACTCATTTTAATATTATTTTGACATTATCGTTCTGCTTGGGAATCGTCTGGACGGCTTTCTGAAAATACGTCCACCGTTTCTCTCCTACATTGAACTGAACAACGATTAACGAGTTATAAAGACAATAATAATGATATCCCTAACAGAGATTTTATTCGCACGACGACTTATTGTAACGAAAATCGAACTTCGCGAACGTTCGCCACCGAAAAGGATCGCAAAATTTCATCGAACGAGAGTTTGGACGAACGCCTCGCAAATGAAAGTCGAAAGGACGGGATCCGATGATGTAAAAAAAATATATGTGTAAACTATTGTGTTAAGTATCCCAAAAAGAAAAAAAAGTATTGTAACAAGAGCGTGTGTCTCCCTTTAGCGCATTAATTCTCCGTACTCGCGCCAATCAGGCGCGATTATTCGCGTTTAATTTCTCGCAGACAGTAGTTACATGCGGAATCGTCAGTTCAACGCGTTTTTCAACGCCGAGAGACGTGACGAAAGAAAGAAGAATATAATGATAGAGAAAAAAGAAAGGATACTTGACGCGGCTTCCAAAGAGTCTATCTTCGTAAATCTGTATCTATTATTACTGTCTACTATATCAAATATTTACGTTACATGGCGTTATACGGATATCGATACGCATCGATATCGTGTCAGTCGATGTGTCAGTATATTCGAAATATAATAAATACATTTCAACATAAATGCGTCTGTTTTGCAGCTCAATGCCTCAACATGTACCTTGTATACATATACTCATAATTTTGCAATATATAGTTTTGGCCAAAAATATTAAGCACCTTATTAATTAAGAATTAACTTAAAAATTGATTTATGATGGTTGCTATACATTGTCCTTCCGCGCGCACGTTTCAAAAGTTTTTATAAATTTATGTATAATTTCGGTAATCAACAGATAATAATAAAGTTCAAAGAAATATAGATGAATGTAAAAAATATAAGTTCTAATTTTGGCCAAAACTGCACATACGCACACAGTTGAAAAATTTGTTAAATATAATATCTCAATCATCGGTCCATTCAAATTTTTGTGTTAATTTACTTTAAGATAAATATTAGGAAGTAACACAAATATTATGCAAAAGATTAACAGTACGACTACACTGGCACAATTTGTAAGGAAATTGTGGAAGCATATTTCTTCAGTAAAACAAATTAAATTATATATTTATAATATATTAAATTAACTTATCACATTTTATTCATTTCACTTAGAATTTAAGTTTTATAATACATTATTTTTATGTTATTTGTTTACTTATCTCTTATAAATCTCTTATAAATTATGTTATTTTATACTAAAAGAAATACTGAATATCAATTTAATAAAAAATATTCAAATAACACAATCTATTATATTAAATTATTATCACTCGATATGATAAAAATTCAACACAAAAATTTTAACAAGAACCGAGTTAATACAAAAACAATATTCTTTACGGCATACTTGATTATCGCGCATTTCGATATCATTGCTGTCATTCGGCGGATCGATGGAATCCACGGATGCAGAAATGTCCTCCAACTCTTCTAGTATCTGTAACAATTTCGGCTTGTAGAGCTTCAGAAACTCCAGCTGTAGCTTTGAGCAATTAACTGCAACAAGTAGTCGTAAGGTTTATTTTGAACATCGATATTCTTTCTTATATCTTTTCGAACAGAATTTTTGAAAATTTTCGAAGAGCACTCACTCGCTAACTTCGATGCCTGTTCGAATTTGATTTTTAGCTCCATGTTCATTTCACTGAGTTGGCGGATTACTTCCTCGTAAGACGTCGGCCTAACAGGCGATAGAGATGACTGATCCTAATTAATAATATATTAAATTAACTTTAACTAATTTTATTTATTCATATTAAAATTTAAGTTATAAAATATATTGTTTTTATGTCATAATATGTTATTTGTTTACTCACTCATAAATTGTTATTTCCATATTTAAGAAAAATTGAATATCAATTTAACTATAAAATATTTAAGTAAGACATTATGTTAAAATATCAACATTCGGATATTAAAAATGCAGCACAAAAATTTTAACAAAGATCGGTTTTAATACGAATATAAAATATAGGTTTGTTCGCGTTGCATGCTCCAATATGCTCCAATATTCTTCTAGCTCGTCATAGCTCGTACTCACTCTAATGCGTTCATTAGAATAAGCAGGAACAATAGCAGGAGTATATTGGAGCATTTTAGAGCATGCGACGCGAATAAACCATAGGTTTTACTGTATACCTGATCCTTATCAAGATCCATAATTCGCTAATTTGCTCTCCTGATGCAGCTAATGCGAAGAGAAATCTCTCACCACGGAATGAACAACGGTTTTCGGCGTTTTCGTTTTCGTTTTCGCGAGGAATACAATTTACAGTTTACTTGCCACCGATATTGTCGTTATAACGTAATGATTGCGTTTAGCGGACTAAAATAACCAGTCAAAGTTTGAACGCGTCAACGTTGGCTACGTTCACGGACTCAACAGTTGAGTGAGCGCTCGTTGCTATTGATGTATTCTTCCAAATCTAAAATGCTGATTGGATGATCTAAAAGAAAACATCAATAACAGCGAGTGCTCACTCAGCTATTGAGTCCGCTGAACGTAGCCAACGTTGACGCGTTCAAATTTTGACTGGTTATATTAGGTTTTGTTTTTGACGCTTTAACTCTTGTATTTTAAACTATTACAATAATTCTCTGTTCTTATATTCAAGATTTCTCAAGATTTAAAATTAAGATGACACCAATACTTCGTATGGATTGACAAATTTATTCGTAAAATTTTATTGCGCACCTCCGCTCGCGCTGACTCTCATTAATCCAGATTTAGTTTGTTTTTTGTTATTTTAAAGAGAAAACGTTAATGTTAAAATGGGAAGAAACCTGTGGGAAAAAATAATTTTTATTATGGCAAAAGGTAAAATCTAATTCTGTATATCGTATAACCGTAGAAAGTGCTATATCGAGAAAAACATGAAGAAAGGTTTACTGTACTTCGTATGCGTTCCGAAATTAGCCGATCTTCACGCATTATGCGAAATAGACCGCTTTTCATCCCATACAGCACAGAATTTGCAGCAATATCGCTACAATATTGTTGCAACATGCAATAGTGCTGCAATGTTGCAAAATTGTTGCTGCAACTTTTGTGCTGTAGGGGATTTATTTCTTGACAGAAACCTTTCTATGCTGCAACGTTGCAAAATTGTTGCTGCAACTTTTGTGCTGTAGGGGATTTATTTCTTGACAGAAACCTTTCTTCACGTTTTTTCGATGTAACACTTTCTACTGCTCAGATGTCAGTCGATATTGTATGTATTAAACATATATTTCAAACAAATACAATTAAAAACACAAAAATAAGTAAAATAATATCTACAATTCAAATAACCGCGGCAACATGGCGGCATGACGTCATTCGCTCATTTCATTCACTGACGGGGAGAAGCCAGAAGCACGCGGGTCGTTCAATTTCCCCGCGTTCCCGTCATTATTCTCTCAAACAGAACAGAACATCTTGACATCAAAATGGCTTCAAAATGATTACTACGAGTCACTTAATTTCCAGTCAGTCACGATTTATTTCGACGTCATTCTAACATCTCTGACGTTATATTATCGTGATCTGTCGTTCTGTCCTGGTTCGAGTCTGCGCGACGTGACGCAACGTTACGAAACGGCGCGTCGCGGACCGCGGTTATGTCACAGTGCGTCACGGCGCTTCGCCGGGGTGCTGTGGCCTCTAGGCCTCTAGCGTATCAAAGTCCGCGCGAAGGCAATAGTAGGGATCGATGGTAGATTCAGTTCGGCCCGGACGATGCGAGAACGCCGCGGTCGACGGTACTCGGACGGTTGCCGTCGTCGCCGCCGCTACCGATTGCGAGAAGTCGCCAGTACCGTAGACCTCCCATGGTGGCGATCACCACGTGTCACGCTGCCGCTGCGACGGCCGTCATCCTGGGCGCGCCGGCGTCTGGCAAGGGCACCGTCTCCTCCAGAATCGTCCAACAGTTCGGCGTCTCGCACATCTCCAGCGTCGACAGGTTGCGCTTCCACGTGTCTGCCGGCACTGGTACGTCGTCGTCGTCGTCGTCGTCGTTGGTGTTATCATCAGTGTCCTTTGCCCTGAATGTCCTTTCAAATATTTTTATATAATGTAAACTTTACGTCATATTGCTTTCAATTGTTAATATATACGTATTAACCTTTACCCTATTAGGTACAATTTGATGCTTCATCCATACTAACGGGGGCACTAGAATCCGTCCGTTTTTTTTCACCTATTTAGAACGATTCAAAAAATTGCTAAAAATTCACCAACACACATTCAACTTTCTAGAATAAATATTGGTACTTCATTTTGGAAAATAATAAAATATAGTATAATTTATAATTACGAAAAGACGCAACAAACTTGCACGAACAGAAATCGCTCGTTAACTAGTGACTCCCCTTAGTAGGGTAACGGTTAATATATATTTTATATATAATTATATAAAATTACATATAATTTTATATAATTGTATATATAAATGGATATATTTTATACATAATTGCAGAGATGGACAGTATTTCAAAGACGTATTTAAAATACGTATTTAAATACATTTTTGTATTTTGTATTTTAAATGTGTCAATACTAAATACGTTTAAATTACGTAAACATTTTTTTTATTAAATTTAAAATCGCACTATTATTGACCAGTCTAAAGCGCGTTCCATTTCATGCATGATATGCATAATGCATTATTTACCCTTGTTTACATTTGGTGAACAACAACTCTGATATTGTGTCTCAGCCAAGAGTGGGCAGCAAGTATTTGAAATACACTATGTATTAAAAATTTAAAATACATATTTAAATACATTTTAATTTTATTTAGAGTATTTTGTATTTGAATACTTTTTTGAGAGTAT